ATGTACCAAACAGTGTTTCTTTGCTATTCATAAGGTTTTCCCTGGCCAATTCTTTCAGAAGTGGACGGCCTCTTCCTTCTTCCTAGTCTGTCTCAGTTTATAAACTGGGCTGTTACCTATGCACCAGGTGCATCTCGCTGGGTTTTAAACACCAGAGGCTTAGCCTCAAAACTCACGTCTACATAAAACCCAGGAAGCCAAAGAGAAGAGCAATCAGCCGAAGGGAGTAGATGAGGAGGGAAACTCAGGGACGCCCAAAGAAGCAGGCCAGAAGAGCAGGAGAAAGGGGATTAAAAGACAGGAAGCCAGACAGAGGAACAGTCAGCCACAGGGACCCAGGTGGGGGGGATACGAGAGGTGTCCAACAGCAGGACAAACTTGTCTGTCGGTTTGTTCTACTGTGGTGACATGTAGATGTGAGTTATAATACATAGTGGTCTCAATTATTACAAATACATTAATATATAGTTATAAATTTATTTGTACCTTAAACCATTGCTATTTTTCATTTCTGGGTCATATGCTTTATAGCCATTGACCTTCAACCCAACTGCTGAGTTTTCCTTAAGCCGTGCATATTGGGTTGGTGGGTTGCATTCGGGTCCTTCATCCTGATCCTTCACATGAACTGCAACCACGGCTCTGTTCATGGTTGCTGGTCGGCTTGCAATATCTCTAGTAAGTGGAGCTTCATTGCTTACTCCAATTTCCAGGATCACTTTATGGTTTTCTTCATAATTCAGTGGCTTTAAAATAAAATATATGTATATCAGGGTAGAATATATTTAGGATTTCAAATAGCAGTTGAATTTTCATCAATAAGAATGGTGCTGCATAAATTCTGTGTTTACAATTTGCCAATAAAGAACCCAGGCTGATTGTTGTGGGGTTGATTTTGATTCATAGCAACCCTGTAGGACAAAGTAGAAGTGCCCCATAGTGTTTCCACGGTTGTAATAGTTACAGAAGCAGACTTTCTCTCACAAAGCAAGTGGTGAGTTCAAACCACCAAGCTTTTAGTTCACAGCTGAGTGCTTAACCCTCGCACCACCAGGGCTCTGTTCAGTTTCCCAGTACTGACTTTTAGCCTCTGCTACAGAGAAAGGTGATTCTGTGATAAGTCATTACTGGTTCAACAGCTCTTGAAATGGTTTTGTAGAGTTACGGAGAAGCAATTCCTGCTATATTTTTATAGGTCACCCTTGGTAAGGAAACTTATAAAAATTAAAAAAAGAAAAAAGCTTCTTATAACAATTTAATTCCTGGTATCACTTAAATTTTGTCTCCACAGCAAAACAGATCCATTAAGATAAGACAATAATAATAATAATGAAGTTTCTCCAAACAAGCCTTGAGTAATGGCCTTACATGAGAGGTTTCTGACCAAAGAACAGGTAGGATTTTCACCAAGGTGTCTGAGCTTGGGTCTCTGGCTTAGGCTCCTGCTGTTGCCATGCTCTATCATTCCAGGGTCCCAAACTACTCTTTTGATTTATTCCCAAAAAAAAGACAAGGTATAGGGGGATAGAGAAGCAGACTTAGGCCAATAAGAGGGAAAAGAATTGGAAATACTTCATTTCCTTTCTTATTACAAGTTCCTATCATTAATTTTCTTTCTCAATTATAAAGCTTCATGTCTTTTAAAGTAGTTTGTATTAATACTCTATTTGAGCAGAGAAAATTGTAGAAACTGCATAGGGACAGCTTTCTTGTTTAGAGTCATCTGGAGCCAATATATCTGACTATTCACATATGGAGAAAACTTTACAAGTCTCAGTTTCTAATCCCTGGAAATTCTCACAGAGGAAATAACAAAGGTCCACCATAATATTATTAGCAGACAAGCCTCCTGAATTCAATGAGTGAACATTACACCTGTCCACATAACAAAGTCCTTTCCTGTTTCTGAACGAAGAACATAAATCAAAATTCCAATCCAAACAGGGTCCTACCTTCCTTCATAACATAACATGTGCCCTAGAATATTACAATATATAAAACAGAGAATGAGTTCATTCAGTGTTATCTGTTACAATACTATTTTGTATACTCAATGTCACTTTTAAAAAGATCAGAGACAGGTAACTATGGGGAGGAAGTGGGAGGGGAGCTGCTGCATTGTAAATTTTGGTCAATGACATGAGACAAAGTATATGTGAACTGCT